CGCTCTTCCCCCCCCCAACCCGGCACTGAAGCGAGGGGCGAGCGGGGATGCTCTGCCAGTTTTGTGGGGATTTAAACATCCCCCCGGTTTTTTTTGCAGGGTTTATGATTTTTGTGCAGACGTGGGGACCACCCCACGTGTGCACAAACCTCTCCCTGCCCCCCAGGTGGCCCCGGAGCGCTGATTTAAGTATCCGCACTGACGGGGCCACTTCACTATTAGATATATAGATGCAGTGAGAGCAATATAAAAACATACAGCAATAGATATAGTAGTATAGTCCACCATCCTGTTCTCTCAGTCAAAACATCTTCCCGAATTATTCTGTCATAATACAGCCCTGTTCCTTTATTAAAAAATGCCCTCCCAAGCAGTTCTGCTTTACATAGTTTGCTGAAAGCCAAAAGTGTAGGAGCTGACCTCCTTTTCAGGCATTTCATTCCATAGGGTGGGGGCCACTACAGAAATCACACATGTACGAGCAGTTGCCAGTCTTGCCCATTTGCAGGGTGGCACCTATGGAAAGCCCTCTTCACATGAGTGGTCATGGCAGGGCATAAGAGGAGAGTCAGATACTGCAGGTATGAGGGTCCAAGGCCATGTGACATCCAGTACCTAGAACTGAACCCAGTAACTAATGGGCAACCAATAGAATGACTGCAGAGTGGGGTATAATATGCACACACTGCCTAGTTCCTGATAATAACCAAGCTGCAGCATTCTGCACTAACTGGAGTTTCTGAGTTGATTTTGAAGGGAGCCCTATGTAGAGTGCATTACAGTAGTATAGGTTCAGTGTTACTGTGGTGTGGATCCAGGTGGCTAGGTCAGGCAAGTCAAGGCAGGGGCCATCTAACTTGGAAGAAAGTGTTTTTGTAGCTGCATTAATTTGCTTTTCCAGTGTTAATGATGGGTCCAGTATAACCCCCTAAGCTTTTGACCAAATGAACGAGGATCCGCTGAATCTCATCAAAAGTGGGAAGCATGATGTCCTCTAAGACCTTAGTCTTGTCATGTCTTCATCTTAGGTCTCCAGATCACTAGGCACTGGCAAATATAAGTTCCACAAAGAATAATCATACAGAGTGCTGAATCTACTTGCAGATAACTAGGTATTTCATTGTGGTGTAAGCATTTATAGGCAATAGCCAATTCATCAAATGTAGGGTTTTCCCATCCTTATTATGTGATATATTAACTGGGGATTGAACATGTGGCTTCCTACGGATAAGTGTATACTGTGATCCATTGCATAAATTTCCTGTAGTGGACTGCTGCTTTTTACATCTTGCTTAATAAATTCCTCTGATACTGACCTTCTTTGCTACTAAATATTGTGAAGCTGAGATCTGTTTCCATTTTCATGTTCTTTATACTAAATGTTATTTACATTGTTTGAATATCAATATTAAATCTCTGTATATCACCATTTCTTGATATAGCAAACTACATCTTTTTCTAGCAGTACAATCTTGTCTAACACAAACTGCAAAATCAAACTTGTAGCTAAAAGAAGAGGGCATTTGCAAACTGTAACAGTGGAACCCTCTTTAAAATTTATGTCTTAGAGATTCCAGCATAGCTATTCATGAAACAGAAATGCTGTAGCAATTTAAAAAAATAATGTTTTAAAATATACTAAAGGCTACACTTCATATATATAAATTATGATAAATGTCTCTAGCTAGTCTCTTCTGTCAAAATATCTAATAGTTAACATGACCCCGACTACAGATACTTAAATCTGCTGATTGGGGCCACATTGAGAAAAAAGATTTTTCTCCGAATTTGGGGGATCCCCCCCCCCAGGTTTGCAGGAAAATCCCAAACCATTAAAAAGGGATATGATTTACAAAAACACCCCAAACAAAAGGCAGTTTATGCAGATGTTGCCTGGCCATGTTATGGGTGGGTGGGGGAGTAGGAATGAGAGCCTCCTTCTCCCCTGCCTGCTACTGCAAGCCGTGTGACTGGAGGTGGATGGCATGCAAGCTGGCTCTGTCTCCTTCTGCCGCCGCCAAGGCATTGTTGCTGGAAGGGGTGGATGTGCAGGAGGCTCTGTTACTGCCCCCCACAGTCCCCACTTCACCACTGAACTGTTGGCCCTGCGGCCTCAGTAGGAGCTCCTGCTGCTGCAGCATGGGTCGGGTAAGTGGGTAGGGAAGTGTGGTGGTATTTGATGGGCAGGGAGGGTGGCAAGAGGGAGGCAGAACAGCAGGGAGGGAACGGGCGGGAGAAATTTTTCCCCATGACTTTCACAGGGGCCCTCTCGTGTATTATATTAATTGATTTAATTTAATACAGTTGATGACCATTCTGAAATGAACTCATTATTGGTCATAGAAATGGCTTCTCTTAATGAACTTTGCAGAAGATAAAACTGTGCCATTGTTTTCTTAATTGCAGATAAGATAGTGAGAAGTGCTGGCAGTCTGAAAGATGCCTTTGTATGTGAGGTAGGCCCTGGTCCAGGATCAATCACAAGACCCATCTTGAATGCTGGTGTTGCAGAGCTCCTGTTAGTTGAAAAAGATCCCCGCTTTATTCCAGGGCTGCAGGTATGAAATTATTTTTCTGCAGATTTCCATCTGACTTATAACTTTGAAAGTAAAATTGTTGTAAAGAGTAAAAGCCAGTGTCTCTGTTTAGGTCTGAGCCATAGAAGGAAAAGTGTACTTCAGTTGTATGAAGTTTTGGACAGGACCATAGCTGGGGTTGGGGGGCAGTGCTATCTCAGAAACACATCATGCTTCACTTCGATTACCTGGGAAGGGATGAAGAAGAAGAAGAGAAGGTTTTATACCCACTTTTCTTTACCTTAAGGAGTCTCAGGGCAGCTTACAATCACGTTCCCTTCCCCTCCCCACAACAGGCACCTTGTGTGTAAAGGGTGTGCAAAAAAAAAATGCCGGTATTTTTCGGGCTGGGGTATATCAGACCCAAAAAATATTGGTAAATGCCAAATTTCCCCAGTAAAATACCGATAAGGTATTCGGATTGGGGCTATATTTGGTATTGCTGAATATATTCGGGTCTGATTTACACCACCCAAGGAAAAGTTAGAATGCCTTCTTTCCCTCTGGTAGACCATACAGATTTCCCTGTCAATTTCACTCTTCTGGAGGTGATGAAATTGGTTCTCTTCTGTTCCATCACCTTTTCTGTGTGGGCACTTCACTTTCTCCTTTCAGATGTCCACAGTGATGAATGATAACATTTTATAGATAACTGGAGTGTGAGACATAGTATTTTGGGATTGCCTCCTCTGTTTGTAGTTGGGAAATCTAGGAGTAGGTGGGAGCTGAAGAGGGGGGAAAGGAGAAAGATAAATGCTAAATTTCACTCAGTTTGCTATCTAGTTTTAGCCACTAGTTGCAAGTCATTTTGCTGTAACTTGCCTGTGTAAAAGAATATATGTCTCTGAGCATGTGCAGAATGTCTTTTACTCTGCAGTGAAACACCATTGTCAGACTCCTGTTTTCGGGGGGGGGGGCAATCAGGAACTGGGGCTAAAGGACTGGAGAGGTGTCATGCTCAGACAAATTTAAACTCCAGAACCTTTTTCCGACAGAAAAAAAAAGTGGTACTTTGCTAAAGACCCGTCCTGATCTTAAGCACCACCACCTTTCACTACAGAAAAAATAATGTCCTTGGGAGGATTTAAATAAATCTGTGTCAAGAGTAATCAATTGCCTGAAAGCCAAGACTGCAAACACTCTGCTCATGTTCAGGGTGCTTATCCTTTACTACACAGTAAACATAAACATAAATCTTCCAGGTGTTAGGGGATAATTTCTAGGTTGGAGGAAGGATTTGCAGGCAGGTGCAACTTCAGAACTTCCCATTTTATACTAAGTAAGGCACTGAATCTCCCCACCCACTCCTGGCTTTCCTACCTACAGTCTTGATCCCAGCAATGTCTCTTGAGAGAAGAATGTAGGTGTGTTGATTAAATCAACAATGAACGTGCATGATAGATCCTAAGGAAATTTTTCCTGGATGGTGTGCTGTATGGCTGATCTACTGCTGCTTCTTCAGTTTTTACACATGCTTGCTTGTGGTCACTACCGCACATATAAATTGGAGGAAGGAAGCAGTAATTAGCACTGAAAGCTCAATTACATTTTAGCATGCAGTTAATTTCCATGTTATTTTTATTTTTTAGTCTGCTAAACAGTCATGTCTTCAAATCCACATAATTGTCACTACATACAGATACCTTGTGGTTAGGGTTGTAGGTAGCCTGGAGAAAAGCTGTCTCTTTTATAGAGACTTAACAGGATATTATTTAACAGGTGGCACTATTAACTTCCATGCCATGAAAAGCTTCACCTGCCCATGTCCACTCATTAAACCTCTATTAAAGGAGCAGGATCCTTTTTTCCAGGCATGGAGTTCTACGTGTAATGGAGTTCTGTGTGTAGTATGTTCCTTATGATGTGTGGAAGTATTACCATCAGGCTCTGTCCATTGAATCTTGGGGCTTAAGATGAACACTTCCTAAGTTTTGGTGAATAGTCACTCTGGATTCCTGTCCACTCTCCTGCTCACCTAGCTCCTTGCTTTGCAGTTCCTTGGTTATCAGTTTTCCGTCTGCAAGTTGCTGTCCCCCACCCCACCCTTCTTCCCATGCCTGTGCAGCTCTGCAGCTTTGCCCTTTTGTTCCTTCTGCTGAACTGAAGCCTTATTCCCTGGGTTTCGTCTTCTCTCCAAGCCACCTTCCAAACCCACTTCTTTCCCTTATTTCTTTCTCTCCCAGTGCCAGTCAGCTTGCTCTACTTCATCCTTCTGCTGTCCTCCTAATAACCTATCCCTTTTCTTCATGGGGTCACTGTACACATGTGGATTCTATTTTTGGACTAGCTGTGGGTGAGAAATATCAATAATACCATAATTACTATCACTAGAATTGAGAAAGAATCTAGTAGCACCTTAAAGACTACCGTATTTGTGGTAGGGTATGAGCTTTTGTGAGTCACTGCTCACTCTTCAGATACCTTGATTGATCCCTAGAATTGTTTTAGAGTATTATGCTTTAATTTACAGTTTTGATTGTTATTGCCTCTTTTGCCTTTGCCTGTCCTCTCTTTTAGAAAATAAAGTTGACGGTGTTACTAAGAAGTGCTTCTTCCCAGTTTCTTAAATATTGCTCCCACTCCACCTGGGTGTATACATAAAGACCTATAAACCATGGTCAAGGGAGTGCATGTGAAGGGACACCTCCATGTGTACCCTTTGTTTGCTGGATAACACTGTTTTCATATGGGTTGTGATACAGTAACACAAAACTAACTTCCCCAAATGTGCTGTAGTTGTATTGTTCAGCTGTATTTTATAAAAGGTGTATCTTGGGGGGGGGGGGAATAGGTGTGTGTTGCAGGCAAGAGTTAAAGAAACCATTCTCTTAATGGTCCCACTCCATTTATTCATGGGACACTTGTAATGGTTTTTCAACATGAAGTCTTAAAGTTGTTTGTGGTCTTTGTGAAAGTATTTTCTTTAGTTTTATTAATGGCATGCATACCCAGTTGGAATACTTTTAGTCTTAGGGTCTGATTAGATGATAACTAAGCTAATCTTCCTTTCTTTGAAAATCTTAGATGCTCTCTGAAGCAGCTCCAGGAAAAGTTCGTATTGTTCATGGGGATATTTTGACATATAAGTTGGAGAAAGCTTTTCCACAGCACCTTAAGAAGGAATGGGAAGATGGTAAGAATTACCCCTATATGCTGATGGTTTGGAGAAGGTATTAATAGTTCTTATACAACCACCAAATAAACACCGCAATTGATTTATCTTGTATGTACTGATGTAGAAGTAATGTCAAATTGTGGCTGATTATATGGTTATGGAAAAACAGTAGATAATCATAGAGCAAGATGCTATTGTAATCTTATTCCAATGTCATGCCCTTGGCATGTAGATATAACCCAAAAGATAGCTTTGCATTTTGAGGTTTATTAAAAGTAAAGGTAAAGGTTCCCTTGCTCGAAAGCCAGTCGAGTCCGACTCTTGCGGTGCTCATCTCCGTTTCAAAGCTGAAGAGCCAGCGCTGTCCGAAGACGTTTTCCGTGGTCATGTGGCCGGCATGACTAAACACCAAGATGCACGGAACACTGTTACCTTCCCACCGAAGTGGTACCTATTTATCTACTTGCAATTTCTTGCTTTCGAACTGCTAGGTTGGCAGGAGCTGGAACTAGAGACGGGAGCTCACTCCGTCATGCGGCACACTCGGGTCTCGAACTGCTGAACTACTGACCTTCCACAGCCTGCAGTTCAGCGTCTTAACCACTTGAGCCACCGCATTTTATTTATTATGTGTTATTTATTATTTATTATTATTTATTATGTGTTATTTAATACAAGTGAGGAACATGCATAATTTGTGTGCTGTATAATGAGAATGTATATTGCAAGCTTACATTAATGCAGAGAATACTTTTATACTAGGTAGTTACTGACTCTTAAAGTTTTTCTTTCTTTTATTCTTACAGATCTCCCCAACATACATATTATTGGAAATCTGCCTTTCAGTGTTTCAACTCCACTAATAATCAAGTGGCTTGAGAATGTATCTGAAAGGAATGGTCCATTTAGTTATGGTAGGACACAGATGACTCTAACATTTCAAAAGGAAGTAGGGGAGGTAAGTTTGCCTGTTGACTTATTAAACATTTCTAAATGGTAAAAGACTAAAATTTTTAAATAAAGAAATGCTTGCTAACAGTTCAGATACTTTCCTGGGAATTAGCCTCATTAAACAGACAGAAGTAGGATTCTGAGTAGACCTGCTTTGGATAGTAATGTAACTTTATGTTTTTGGAGCTAGGTCCTGTACTAAGTGTACTGCTCTTTCCATTACCTTCATTTTCCTACAGCCATCTCAAGATATGTGAGGGAAGTGCTACTGATGTTGGGAGGGGTGGCCTGGAATTTAAAGTGTCACCCTTCTTGGATGGGTTACACTCCCGTTGAACAAACGGGTCTGTAGTCGGGAGGTGCTCATGGACCCCGCTGTACTGCTGAATACACAGGTAGCAGTTATGGCCAGGAATAGCTTTTACCAGCTTTGACTGATTAACCAGCTGCAACCTTTCATGGGCAGATAAGATCTGGCTACTATGGTGCATTCCCTTTTATGTCTAGAGTACTGCAATGCATTCTGCATGGGAAATGTTCAGAAACAGATTAATACAGAATGCTACGGCCAGAATATTGACTGGAGGAACCATATCACTCCAGTCTTGGTCCATCTACCCTGGCCTCCAGTTTTTTTCAAGGCACAATTCAAGTTGCTGGTCTTGACCTTCAAAGCCCAATATGGTTTGGGATCAACATACCTGAAGGACTGCCTAATCCCTTATGAACCTGCCTGACCACTGCAGTGATCTTTGGAAGTTTTGCTTTGAGTGCCCTCACCTTCTAAGGTTAGGTGTGTGGCAACCTGGTAGAAGGCCTCCTCAGTCATGTGACGTCAGTAGAACTCTGGAACTCTCTCCCCAGAGAGAGAGAGTTTCTAGTCAACAGATCTTGATAAAATCCTATCATCTGTCAAAGTCATTGGCTGTGCGTGTCAGAGTGATCCTATCTGTGACACTGTGCATGTCCTGAAATTCATTTGTGCTATTAGGGCACAGTGCTTCGTTGGTGGGAAAAAGTTTACTCCAGTATGGAGTGAAGAACTGTAAGTGCAAAGAGCCAAAAGTGGTTGGCATGATGCTGTAGCATGGGCTACCTGCAGTGGAGTATAGGATTCCAACGAATTCTACAACCACAGCACAACTTCAACAGTGTGTATTTCCTAGTTGGGCTTGTAGGTGAGGGGCCATGGTGGCAGCGGGCAGGAAGCTCAGTGCTCAAGCTCCAGCGAGACGAGCACGTTTTTAAAGGTTTTAATAGATTAGCACTCTATATTGATCTAACGAAACAAAACGAACATTAATAACAATGCACTGCGAGGTATGGGGAGAAGGCATATCTTCCGAAAAACTTACTGTCAGTGCAGCTGTGTGGCTGACAATGCGGAGAGGATGCTTGGCGGCCTGGCCTTGGCGGGATCGACGCTTGCCTCCCTGGTCTGTCGTAGGGTCGCGGCCAAGACTGGAGGCATTGACGGCGGTTTCGTGAGCTGTGTGCGGTTGGTATGATTGCGATCGCCATTTTGGGGCTGGGGTCGGGACGGGTTTCCTGTTCTCCGATCAGCTGCGAATGCGGCGCCTGACCCGGGAGGACGGCTGGTGATAGGAGGACCTGGGAGGGATTTACATCCTTCGGAGGACCCCCTTACTCGAACTGAATTGCGCCGGGGTGGGACCCGCCGGACAAGTGGAGTCCCTGTGCCACCGAGCATTAGCCAGGGGCCTGTGGCTTCTGAAGCTTCAGTGCCTCCCCCTCTAGCTGTGATGCTTGCAATGCTTGCGACGACTGCCCTGAGCAGGGGGGCCTCTGCATCTGGGACTGCAGCGCCGGGGATGGGTATGTGGTTCCCAGTTGGGGATTACCCTGGCTACTTCCCCCCAGTTGGGCTCGGGGCTGTGGGATGCCCACAGAGGGTGCGACATCTTTCCCTGGCAGACGAGGCCAGGAGGTGGGAATCCCCTGGCCGCCCCACAAGGACAACACCAGGGCTGGGGGGCCTAAGAGATGAACGGAGGTGACTACCATCTGCAAGAATAGACCAGGGGCTAGAGTGGTTGAAATTCCAGCATTAAACTGGAGAGAACCGGATACCAGCATGTGGAATGAGAAACTTTGGGACTAACATAAGTGCAAAGGAGACGAGCGAAGCAGCTGATAGCTACTACTAGCTGCTGCTACTTTAGAAGCGGTGGAGTAGTCAGCCCTAAGTAAATGTAATATTAATATTAGTAATAGATTAATTTAATTTAACTTAATTGAGGGAGTAAGCGAGTTAGGTGTTTCGAATTAATTAATTGTAGGTAGCTATTAAGTTAGGAGCTGCTGTTGTGGAATTTGAATGAATTGTTAAGGCCGTCCAAACCAAATTGCAATATAACATAGTGATTGCTATTATTGATTAAAGTTAGTGAGCCAGGAAATAAAATAAAAATAAAATAAAATAAATAATATAAAATATTATATAAATAGGGGAGTGCCATACAGACAAAAAGCAAAAAGAAAAAGAGGGTGGGTGGGATAGGGTCTTTACTTATTGACTGGCCGATATCCGGTTTTCGAGGTGCCCTACAGGAGATTATCAACAAGTCCCTCTTAGACGGGCAGTTCCCTGGGGCACCCTCCGGAGACATCTGGATCGAGGTGGAATGGTGGTACTGCTGTTGTTAGATCTGTTGGCCGTGTTTGACATTGTCGACCACCAACTACTAGTCCACCGCCTTGCTGATGTGGGGATTAGGGGGCTCGCCTTGCAATGGCTTGCTTCCTTTCTCCAGGGTCGGGGACAAAGGATGGCACTAGGGGAACAGCAGTCCAGGAGGCACCCACTTGAAAGTGGTGTGCCTCAGGGGGCTGTGCCGTCCCCAATGTTATTTAACATCTATATGCGCCCCCTTGCCCAGATCGCTCGGAAGTATGGGCTGGGATGTCACCAGTATGCTGATGACACCCAGCTCTATCTGATGTTAGGCGGCCAGTCGGACTCCAGACTAGAGGACCTGGATCGAGCTCTGCAAGCCGTGGCTGGGTGGCTCAGACTGAGTCGGCTGAAGCTGAATCCAGTGAAGACGGAGGTCCTGTGCCTGGGCAGTTCGGGGGCGGGGATCCCACTCCTGACCTTTGGGGGGGCTTTATTGGTTCCAGCGCCGGAGGTTCGGAGTTTGGGAGTGCTCCTGGATCCCTCCCTTACCGTGGAGGCCCAGGTAGCGGCCACTGCTAAGTCGGCCTTTTATCATCTTAGGCTGATTAGGCAGTTGGTTTCTTTCCTCGACCGTGCTGACCTGGCTACAGTGATCTACGCAATGGTCACCTCGAGACTAGACTAGTGTAACGCTCTCTACATGGGGCTGCCTTTGGCGCGGATTCGGAAGCTGCAGCTAGTGCAGAATGCCACGGCCAGGCTGTTGATGGGTCTCCCTAGATGGGAGCACATGCAGCCTGTGCTAAGGACACTGCACTGGCTGCCAATAGCATACCGAGTACGCTTCAAGGTGCTGGTTCTTAACTTTAAAGCCTTATATGGCCGGGGTCCAACATACCTATGGGACTGCCTTTCCCCGTACGTACTCCAGAGAGCACTACGGTCTGGGTCTCAAAATCGCTTGACCCTCCCTGGCCCGAGGGAGGCCAGGCTAGCTGCTACTAGGGCCGGGGCCTTTTTGGTGGCAGCCCCCTATGTGGTGGAACGAGCTCCCGGAGGAGATCAGGGCCCTGCGGGACCTCTCACAGTTTCACAGGGCCTGCAAGACGGAGCTCTTCCGCCAGGCATACAACTAGGGGCCTCCGCCACCGTAGCGCACGGCCTGCAATATCATCATTGAGCAGCTGCCATAAGAGTCGACGAGCAGAATAACATCTGGGCACTTCTATGCTGGAAGTTGAAATCCATTTGAAGCTATTCCATCTGACTGAATTTTTAACTGCTGCTAGCACTTTGTAATGTATTACTTTGTAATGTATTATTTTAACTGTGGTGTTTTAATTACGTATTATGTATGTTTTTATTTTGTATTTATGCTATTGGAAGCCGCCCTGAGCCTGCTTTGCGGGGAGGGCAGGGTATAAATTTGACAATAAATTAAAAAAAATACCGAAATACATTATATTGGGGCTGTATCACTACATTCATATGGACTTACTACACACACGCACACACACAGACACACTCCCTCTCTACATCTAAAACAATTGTTAAAAGAGTAGCAGCCAAAAGTGAAGGTTTGCTTCTGTGGAGGTCAGTTTACTATCCCCCAGGATCTTTACTTGTTCCCACTTGACAGCCATATGTGGATGAGTGCTGTGATTGAAATGGCACTCCTTGTTGTCAAAAAGGTGGGAGTTTGAACTCTTGACTTCAGGGAGCCATGGAGTTGTTTATAGCAGTATTATTTGTAATCCTGTTCTTCCTCCAAATGGCTCAGGGCACTGTATTTGGTTTCACTCTGCCCATTTTATTCCCACAACCAAATCTGTGCGAGTGCGTCTGGTCCAGAATTAGAGCACTAAGAGGGATTTGAACCCAGGTATCCCTGGGTTAGTACTCTAACCACTATATCTACTGTCTTCCTGTCCAGTGTGCCATGATGAACTGCTGCGCAAAAGAGCTGTGGTAACTTTGTTTTGCCTAGTTATGTTTTATGAGAGAAAGGGATATGTTTGTTTTTGCCTGGTTACGCTCTGTGAGAGAAAGAGTCTGGACGATAGTATGGAGTTGTTTATGAATTCCAGTGGAAATGTGTTTAAATTACACAATTTGTTTTGCGGGCATAATGTTATATCATCAGAAGGGGTGAGAACAAACACTAAGCAAGAGTAGAATGGCTCCTAAGCTCCCTGCTGCCTTCAGTCTACCTTCTAGTCAACTCCTCCTACAGTCACATCTGTCTTAGGCAAGGGTTATGCTGACCCAAGGCTATCATTATCCTGGAGTAAGTTTTCCCACCAGCAAAGCCCTGTGCCCTAACAGCACATGGGGATTTAAGGAGCATCAGTGAGCATCGCATGTAGCAGCATCTTTCTGTTCTGTACAGCCAGTGACTTTGATGGATGTTGGGTAGCTTTTCCTCCACCCTCCCCAATTCATCTCAGCTTCCAAAATGAAACTACTGCAGCCAGTTTGGGTTACCTTGGGTATCCAAAATGGCTATTTGATCTTTGGAAGGAAAACTCACGAGATCTTGGCATTTCAATATTCTGACTTATTTAAAGACTCTCCCTATTTAAAAAAACAATATATATCTTTTACTGCAAACCCTGGGGTCTCCCCCAAACTCTTGCTCTTTCTGTACCTCCCCCTGTTTGGCAATTTGTTTTAATCCATACATCAGGGGCCAGGTTCAGAATTAGATGCATGGATGTTCTAGTCAAGGTGAAGGGATCATCTGAGCCAAGCTCCCCAGACGCTGCAATTGTCTGACAAAGCGGACCCCCTTTATCAGCTCTCAGTCCATGTGGTTTTTGGCATAAAAGCTCCCATTCAGTTTGCTGAAATAATTGATAGTGTGAGCTGCTATACTGTGCTTTAGTGATAGGGCTAACAGATTAGGCTTTCAGATCTAAAAAAGGCTGGAAATGGAGAACAGTTTGTTAGCAATGAAAGGGAGATACAAAGAGTTGAGAGCATAAATGCAGTCTGTGCTTTATATAGATACAACCAGCTGTATGTGCTATCAAGTTCATTTTCTTAATACGTGACACGGAGATTATAGTGTTTCTGCACATAACGTAGCTTAAATGAGATGCAAAATAGCATGCACACAGTAAGTTTCTTGTAGTTAGTTGAAACGGGCTAAATCTTCAGGAAATGCAGCAACATGATCATGGCAATAGAACAAGGTGGCTGTTGAGATTCTTCTGGTACTTCTTTTTCTCATTAAAACCCCTAGGTTTTTTTTGGGGGGGGGGGGGTTGCTGATTCTATTGGTCCTTGGACTTTTATTCTGAAGTGTTTCTATATTTTTCTTTTTTTCTTTTTGGTTATTGGGTTGTGTCTGAAGTACTATGAGCAAAGCTGTACTCCCTCTCCATCTAACCCCACTGTAGCCATCCTTGAAATGTTGTCCTGGGCATTAGGGGACCACTAGGAATGTCAGTGGGTGTGATATCGGAATCTGCAGTTTGGGTAGCTGGCAAAAAAAAATTCCACACCCTCCTTCGCTGAAAGAACTTTGACCCTAGTTATGTAATATTTGCATTTAAAGTAAAAAATATTGTCACGTTATGTGCAAAGGTAGATGTCTTCCAGTTGTACAGTGTAAACAATAGAGAGTTTTGCAAAGAAGGAACTCAGTTAAGATTATGGAGACTCTTGCTTGTGCCCTCAAGTCCTGAATTGGTGGCACTGAGTAGTTTCTTCCCTATTAGTGAAATGAATAGCTGTTAATATTAATTGCAAATAAGAGCTTTTGAGTATTGTCTTTCTGCTAAAAATGATTGCTCCAAGCAACTTTTATTTTTCTCTAGCTTATACTTTCTGCCTTCATGGAAACTTTGTGTTAAGAGTTTCTACAGTGACTGCGTAGGCACTATACTAGAAGAGAAAATGATATGAAATACTATTTTTGAAACTTTACAGTACAATGTCTTCTAGTCTGATGTTACGATTCCAGTAAGAACAGGGATGTGACAGTGAAGAATCCACATTTATTTTGTTATTTTGGCCTTCAACCATAGGAGGCTACTTTTTGAGTCACATTCTTTCTAGAACTGTCCCCCTCCCAAGGTAAAGATAACGCTGCATTCAGGTCATTATGCCTATGTTCTGTGTAGAGGTCTGTTAGCACTTCTAAAGTGCTGATCAGGCCGTCATGTTTTTATTGCACAGTACAATTCATTCAAACAAATATTAAAGGACAGCTTTGGTTAGGATGCTTTCTAATTTTGTTTGTTTTTCAGAAACAGTACAACTTACTGTTTGATATGCCTGAATGGATTTATCTGCAAAAACTCTTCTGTTTTCTTCCACAGAGGCTGACAGCTAGTACAGGAACCAGGCAGCGTAGCAGACTTTCTATTATGGCTCAGCATCTGTGCACTGTTCACAATTGTTTTACAATTCCGGGCCAAGCTTTTGTCCCCAAGCCAGAGGTGAGTCTGTTTTTACTCCAATAATAAGGATCACATACTGTAACTCCATCATGGAATAAGAAGTTGAATTTAGAGTTTAGTTCTGATGGACATGAAGTTCCTTTAATGCTCTTAACAGGAATGAATGCATTGGAACTAAAGTTGTGCACAGCTGTGTAATTTTAGCTTCAGAAAATTTTGAAGAAGTAAATCCCCTACTAAAGGAATATTTATTGCTGGATGAAAATAAAACAATGGAACTGTGCTATATTTCAAAGTCAAGAGAGAGGTACCTAGTCCTTGATTCTAGAAGGAAAATGAATACAAGAACAAGAAAATATTCAGTTAAAATAGTTCTTCATAATCCATAGATTTCCTTAGATTTCCTTATCAGTGATCTCCAGGACAGTGAAAGGTTGATGTGGATCACTGCAGCTGTTTCATGTAAGACCTGATTATATAAGTCATAAAGCATATGTATAGATAAGTGCTTGTGAATTCAAGTATGAACTGAAGAGATTCTTATTTCATTAGTGTTGTCAGCAAATTAAATCTTTTGTAAGTGTTAATATTGATTTTAATAACCCCTGTTCCACAGTTTCAACTTGTCCGGTTACTGCCTTGATGCAGATGATACTATTAACTGAGGTTTCGGGATGTCTTGATGCAGATGATACTATTAACTGAGGTTTCGGGATCTTGCTTGCCCCTGCCCCTGGGGATACTTCTAATGAGCCTGGCTGGGCATACTTCTAAATCCTTACAAGAATCTTGATGCTGTGAGCGTGGCATCTTCTGAGAGCTGGTCTGTTAAATCTACCACGCAGCTGATTTCCCTTCACTAAGTGCTTGGTGTAGTTTGAGTTTCTGCATTGTACTCATGTCCTTTTCAGCCCAGATGCCTTCACTTTCAGAGTTTTATAAGTGCAACGAGGTATCTAGTCTCAGTCTGACAGTAATCCACAGTACTGCAGCTGGATTACAGTGTGGCTATCCGTTGTGCTGTTGCTTGACACCTTGGTGCTTGTTAGCCAAGGAGGAAGAGGGAAATCCTGTTTCTGTCCCCGGAGAATATTTGTTCTCTTCAAAGGCTCTTTCTCCTTCCCTCTGTGCAGAGGGATGACTCCTCATTGCAGAAGTCGCTGGGAATGTCGTTTTGCTCAGATTGCTGTGAGTTTTGGATTGCCATGGCTGATGTTTGCAGTGTATGTGCTCTATTATCATGGAGTATATAGACAGGCTTTGTCTAGTGATTCCTATGATGCAAGAAGACTCTCCCAAGCAAACAAAATTAGATGGATTCCTAGAACTATAGGCATTGTTGTTGATCAGACTGGCAGTTCGAGGGTTGTAAAATAACTGTCAAATGGCCAGGGAGGGAATGAACGCTGAAAAGCTGCTTTTGAAAAATGGCTTAGTAGCCTCTTACCCTTGACACAAGGTTTAGGTATAGGTTTTAGAGATCTGCAGAATACTTAGTAGGGATGCAGACTTGAAGATTATGCTTGGCAGCAACGGGGGGGGGGGAACAAACCAATGTCATTTTTATAAATCTAAATTAGTTCTAGCTCGGCTGCTGCAAACTGATACTCAGATGTTGCTTTGAAAGACTTCCCCGAGCAGTAGTAGCATTTGAGCCAAACAGGCTTTGTTGAGGCAGACGTGGAAGTGACTAACACAATGCAAACTAGGAATTTTCTCAGTGATACAGAGTAAACAATGTGTCCTAATCAGAATAATGACGTCTGTTTCCATTGTTAAGTATTTTTCTCAATTACTGCTTCCCAATTAATTCTGAATTAGAATTTCAACACATATGTTTACTTTTTGATATGCCTCAGGCCTAAAGTCGTCAGAGTCTGTCATTATTATTACTGTGGAACTGTTGCTCTTCAAAAGATAAATATTGTAGCAGTTGCCCAAAAATGGCCACTTTGAGGGAGGCTTTTGGATGTGTAAGCTTAATTTTAAATTCCTGTTTAAATTTCAAGCTCTCAGTTGTGCTCTTGGATGCTCGCTTGCTGTCTCTCTGTCAGTGAAGCTGATGAAGGTACAGTGGAGGGTGCCCACACATGCGCAATTCTGAGCAGCTTGGAAGAAGAAGAAGAAGAAGAGATTGGATTTATACCCCGCCCTTCACTTGGAGTCTCAGAGCGGCTTACAAACTCCTTTCCCTCCCCCTCCCCAGAACAGACTCCCTGTGAGGTGGGTGGGGTGAGAGAACTCTGACACAGACTGCTCTTTTTCAAGGACAGCTGTGCCAGAGCTTGTGACTGACCCAAGGTCACATCAGCAGGTGCAAGTGGAGGAGTGGGGAATCAAACCCGGTTCTCCCAGATTAGAGTCCGCGCACTTAACCACTACACCAAACTGGCTCTCGAAAAGAAAGAAAAGGAAAGGAAAAGAAAAGCAGTACATGAATGTGCCAAACAAGTGTAATCGATTCACTCTGGAATGCTGGTGCGCGGAGTCTTTTCTTCATCTGATGAAATAGATTGACTAACAGGAGGGTGGTTCAGAGATAATAGAACCAAGGTGAGTTTCTCGTAGTTTATTTGGCTATATCATGGCACATTTTTAGGTATTGCAATTATTTGTTTTCCTTGGTTGGCATGAGGGAATGAAGCCTGAGATCAATTTGGACTGGCAATATGGCACAAGCTCTTGTCTGTGATGTAGTAATCCAAGTGCTAATGAATGCACAGCCATTGTTTTCTGTGCTGATATTCCCCCCTTTCTCATCCTCCGTGCTGTAGTTTAGCTAGAAACCTTTATGTAGCCACTTCAAAGTAGTCTCGGACAGGGGTCCCCAACATGCACAGCACCCACCACCACCTTTCCTGGCACCCAGTGTTCCCTCTAAGCTGAGTTAGTGTGAGCTAGCTCACACATTTTTGTCTTGGCTCAGGAAGGATGGCTTCAGAGCAAACTAATTGATGCAGTAGCCCAATCACTCGCTCATGACTTTAATGCCAGTAGCTCACAAAGTAGAATTTTTGCTCACAAGACTCCACAGCTTAGAGGGAACATTGGCACCCACCAAGTTTCTTTAGAAAGTAGGCAGGGCCAGATACAGCAGGGCTTCTGATTGGCCATTGGAGAGACGTTCGGCTGTGCAGATTTTTTAAAAGTTGCTTTGGCAGCCGCTGCCATCGCAGCACAAGGTTCTTTGCTGTATGACTGAAGATAAGCTGTGCATACCCAAGAAAATATTTTTAAACACTGTTCATTTCACAAGGCATTCTGTTAAGCAGAGATTCTGCCTGAAATGTTGAAGAGTTACTATTACGGTTATGCATGACCTCACTCCCCAACATTTTGTGGTTGTGCCCCACCACCACCCGGTGTCAGAATTCCAAAGGTGCTCACAGGCTCAGAAAGGCTGAGAACTCAGGTCTAGACAGTCTCAGAACTATTTACATTCTTCATCTCTGCTATTAATTAGTAGACCGTCTTTGTGCAAAACCGTATGGGTCTACAAATGGCCCTGCATTTGTCATTTATTCCCCTCTTATCTGTAGAGAAGGAGAACAAGCTGGATCTGTGCTTTGGTTTGGCTGCTTGAGCCTTGTGCTTCCGTTGTGTCTTGCCTTTTGCTAGCAACAAGCTCTTCTTTTGGTTTTGGAGGCGGCTGCTGCTGCGTGGGGGCTATCTTTCTATCTCATTTTAATCCATCCTTTCCTACAAGGAGCTGAGAGGCATGTGGCTTCCCTCCCCATTTTATCCTCACGAAGACCCTGTAAAGCAGGTTAGCAAGAAAGACAGTGACTGGCCCAAGATCACCTCCCCGTGAGCTTTATGGCAAAGTGAAGATCACTCAGATTGTTGTCCAGCACGGTATACCGTGCTAGCTCTAGCACACTGATGGAGAGGTGGGTGGTTCCTTACGTATGAATCTGGGATGCTATCTGCTGTGCCTGTGACGGACTGCATACAGTTTTTATAATGTCCTTTGTGGTACCAGATGATATGTCCTTCTGCCTGAATGTTGTAACAGCAATAGATGCCTGAAGGGAGGGTGCTCACTGGTGTTAATGACTTTTCTCCTTCTCTGTCTCTCTGCATGTGGTGTTTCCTTTGCTCTGACATGACTTTGTTGGCAGTAATTGCTGGTTGTTTTTCTTTCTGTGCTGTATCTCTGTGGCCTCTGTCAGGGTATTTGTGCATCTTTTTTAGCTGAGTCCTGGAGGAGCTTAACTTTTTTGACCCTGTGGAACTTCAGCAATGTGTTGTCTGTGCTAATGTAAGATTGGCGTGATGCCTTTTGAAATGATTGAATTGAGTCTTCAGTCTCGGATGATATCCTTATGTTCAGATCTTTTTTATTTACTGAATATTTCAGCAAATAGGATGGCCAGTGTGCAATATTACTGGGCTGCTCCCAGGGCTATTATTGGGCAGGAACGCACAGGAACGGAGTTCCAGCTGGCTCCTGAGTTGGCCACACCCAGCAGGAACTCATTAGCATAATAGGCCACACCCAACAGCATAAACTCATTAGGATTGGCTACATTAGGGGTGTGTGGCCTAATATGCAAAGAAGTTCCTGCTACAAAAAAAGCCCTTGGTTTTGACAACAAACAAGATAAACAGAATAAGAATCAAAAGGTGAGTGTGGCTGGATGACCACATTTCTGGTAACATGGGGTTGTGGCCTAATATGCTAATGAGCTGTGCTGTCAGGGGTATGGCCTAATATGCTAATGTGTTTCTGCTGTTGGGTGTGGCCTATTATGCTAATGAGTTCCTGCTAGGCTTTTTCTACAAAAAATGCCCTGGCTCCTCCTGTTTCTCACTTGCCATTCATTACATTTTAACTGTGTTCTGATGCTGCTGTGCATTCTCTCCCTCTGACTGGTTTTCACCCTAATTTTGGAAGTCGTCTAATGAGAGAATGCTGATCTTCAAGGAAGAAGATGGTCATGAAAAATGGGGATACTCCATCCTACCACGAAAGTAAACTCACTGAAATATCTGAGGCTGCTTTGGAGGAAGTATATTGCAGCAACAGACCTCATGATAAACTATTCACTTCTGCCAGCTCACTGCAGTGTATCTTGTTCACTGCTGGTTTTCCTTCCTGAGGAAACATTGGCTGGACTGTGAGGATTGTTGTCATCTGTAGGGGTCTGAAATGTGAAGGATCCTCTTATGTCATGCTCATAATCAATCTGTGGGCTAAAGATCATTGGTTATAACACGAATGCTGCCTTAGACCATTTTCCTGCTTTATGGCTAGCTTTTAAAGTACTTGTTATTTGAAGAAATTTCTTTTTATTCTAGACTCTTAAGGTTTGCATTGCACATACAGTGGACACAGATTCTTAAGATAAAATAAGTACAACACTTCCTACATACATCCTTTAAAAAGTGGTGCTTGAAAAAAAATATTGGCATATTTACAGAACTAATATAACTACCGTATAGAATGAAGTAGTACAGTAGCCAAATAAATGTCATAAATCAGTTTTGATACATTTCTACTTGTAAATACAAAGGCCAGTAAAACAAATTCATTTATTTCTAAAACCAGTTTCGCATTTGATTGTGAAGAGCAGTTTGCCCCTCCCACACAGAGCTTAATACATATAAGATTCACTTCTTTCTCCATCTACAATTCACTGCTTCCTTGCTCATGTCAACCTTTTTATCCTTCATTGAAACATGAATTCATGGTACCTGTTTTATATGGAAATGTTCCGTATCCTGCATCCTTGTATTATACCTTCGCTTTTATGCCAAGAGATTCAAAATTGACCTCTCCTCACAGTAGATGTGAGGGGTTCCCGACAGTAGCTAATAATAATTTCAGCATGTTAGAAAAAAGGTTCTGAAATGCAAGGAGCGTTAACCAAGTAACTCATGCTGGCAAAGTAATTACAAATGGAGTTGCTGTGAGAGCGGTGTGTGGCAGGCTGCCAGTAACCCTGGGGCCTGATCCAAGAGTGCCTTTCAGATACGTTTATGCAATATTTTAAAGGAGCCAAATAATGTTACAGGTGAAAATAACGCTGAAGGGCTGATTAGTTATCGGTAACAGAAACATTTGTATTTAGAAGTCAAGACATAGACCAAAAACCATATAACACTGCCGCTTCAAACACTAAAATGTTTCATGTGTCCTCTTCTCTGTCCTGATGTTTGGACCTTAAATTAGCAGTAGTCGGATTAAGTAGATGTTTCTTCAGAAATAAAAATGGCGCCTGCAGCAGGTGGTGAATGATGGGATGGGGGCAGTTTTGGCAACGTCTGAATGGCAGTGTCAGCTTTTCAGCCCTGACATGCAAATACATGAGTTTTTGAACGAAGAAATCGAGTTACCGTGGTAGTTGGGAACGCGCAATGCAAGACAGATGTAGCTGTGATTTGGAAACAATACATACGGTTTCTTATCGAGGCACAATAGGCTTTGCTGGTGCCAAAGTTAAAATGAGACTCCTGAGGAAATTAAATTTGGCACATGACAAACATGAACAACTTTTACATGCTAAAAGAGTTAAACATTGTATTCTTCATTTTGTTCTTTCCTATTACATTTAAGTTGTAAAGCAATTTCATCAATAAAGTAAGGGTTGTTACAATTATTTAAACTTCTGCTATCCTTTTTACTGTGCGGGGTAGCTAGAATACACTGTCAAAATTTAATTACAACCCTCTTGTAACTTTTTAACTTAAAAAAAAAAACCCTACAGTAAATAAAGCTTAGCTTGGCTGTACAGGAACCCTGGCTAATATTTGCCACTATATTTACACATAGTCCTTCAGGTTGTAGCCTGTGTTGTTCTCTTGCTGGGCACCTGGGAACTGTTGGTGTGGCTTATTAGGGTAAATCCAGGCTCCCTGCTGCTTTTTAAAACAGGAAGTACCAAAGATCGCACCTGCCGTGAGTAGAAGTCCTGCTGAAATGAATCCAACATAAACGGCTCCACCTGGTTCATGCTTACTGCTTTCTGGAACTGCTGGGTCCAGAAAATTGGAAATGATCTCTCTCGTGTACCATGCTGTTGGTATCAACCCAAATATTCCTGCAAGGATGAAGAAGACTCCTGCTGCAAATGACGTGTGGCTTTTGGTGTCCCTGTCCCCTCCCAGGCGGGTGCACTTCATCCCAACGGTGGCAATGCAGATTCCAAAAGCCGAGAGGATGCAAGACAAAACCATGGTGGTCCGCGCTGCCTGGATGTAAACAGGGAGGGAGAGGATGGAATATTTCAGTGTGCAGCTAAACATCCCAGTGCTGTACCATGTGCAGTCCATCCAGAGCCCTTGCATCTGCGTTATGGCTGTGATGATGTTTGAACCCACGTCTGCGTTCACCTTCCAGTTGGGCAACAAGGCAGCTGTGATTGCACCGAAAACACCAAACAAGGCTAAAATGAAAGCAAAGAACTGTAGAGCTGCTGATGCCATGATGAGATTTGCTGTCACCTTTTGTCTGCCTTTTTCTCTTCTGTTGTTGTAAACGTGTGTAATTGTCTGATCGCTCCCCAGCCAAGGTTGTAAGCTGTCTGTGTGTGTGAGAGAGAGAAAGGGGGGGTGGAGAATGGCAGGGGCAAAGGAAAAAGAAATGAGCAAACAAGAAGGCTGTGATTTTTAATAAAAGCTATCTGAATGAATGACTGAACGTGACCCTGCAGCAGATGAGAAGGCTACAAAGGCACTGAGCAGCTGTATACAGGGCACTTGAACAGAAATGATTACAAATGGAACAGTGTTTTTGAGCGACTGAGCACAAGGAGTTGCCCTTTGATAATACAATGATGGGGGGGGGGGGAAAGTAGAATTAAGGCATAAGTTTATGATAATGGTAAAAGAGAAGGAAATGCAAAATTGGGCAGTTCTGCCTTTAATGGCCAGTGTAGAAGCCTTTATTCTGTTCTGCAAAATAAGGCAGTGAAAGAACAAATGTATCTACAGCTAGTTTTACCAAGTGTTCCTGAAGTCCAGATCTACAGTTATTTAGGTTAAATGTATACATTTTCTCCTCCAGTTCCTCTACAAATATTAATGCTATGGATCTTAGCTATGTTTTGTACATTTCTGTTTTTTGGGTGGTCATTGTTTGATTTATTGTTTTCTAAAGAGCTATTTTCTAAAAAGCAAAATTCAAGTGTCTGTGCTGGCCATTTTCAACTTTGATTTTCCTTAGGACTAGGAACTTTGCCTGTCTTTTTGATCCATTCTAGCCACCTCCAATATTGTATTGTCATTACAATAAAAACAACTGACAAAGATTTTGGGGCATAATCCAGCTAAAGTTAAGCCCCGTTGATTTCAATATTAAAGAATGAAATATACGCTGAACTCTGTCATTGGAATCAGGCACCGCTATGAAAACTTACAGCTGAATGTGTTCAGTCTGCCATGGAAGCACTTGGCGGGTGATCTTAGGCTAGTCACACATACTCAGCCTAACCTACCTCCCAGGGTTGTTGTGAAGATAAAATGGGGAAGAAAAGAATGATGTAGGCCACTTTTGAATCCCTCTAGTGGAAGAAGGCAGGGAAAAATGAATTAAATAAATATTCTGTTGGGTAAAATACCTGATATTTTTTTCCTAAGGATAATGCTTGATGCTCATTAAAATTATAGCATAATAAAATATTCTGTGACTGTAGGAAAGTCGTTCATTCTTACAGTATCAATTTTAAAATATTTTATTTTGTTGTTCCTGATTTTCCCTCATCCTGAATGTCTAATCTAATTCATTTGGCTGCTTTCCAAGGCCATAATCTTTCAGGAATGCAATGGCATACTTAATTTTTAAATAGTACCAATGACTTAAGTTCAGATTTTGGAATAACAGGGTTAAAATTGCTGCTCACCAGTTTACCTCATAGAACAATGGTCTTCGTCCTTTTCATACCTGAGATCCATCTTTAATGCCCAGGCAGCATTATGGGACCCATGGGTTGGTTAGCACATTACAGGAAGTAACATGGCAGGAAGAAGTGGAGCCAGAGTTGTGACTGGTATGGGGGACTCTGTGCTGCAAGCATGCCCAAAAATGTTAAGAGTGATTGAAGGGGAAAGGCAGACCAGGCAAAGTGAAGAAAGTAAATCAGCATTTTTGTGAGTGTCCTGCTG